CAGTTCCTGAATTGATAAGGACTTGACTGAAGTGCATCAGTTGGATAAGAAGATTTTTTTTATGGAGAGTTACCACACAAATTTCTGGAGAGATATTTTAAAAAGGAAATAGTTCAGCTATTGGAAGCCTTATCTCTCGTGGTTAGAAAAGTGAATATAGCCATGTAAAAAGAAGAATGGGAATGTTTTCATGTGAAATTGATTGGCTTTTCAACTTGAACTAACACTGTAATTATTACATGCCAAATTTTGACAACCAAATGTAAATGGAGCAATCATCCCATACGAGTAGAAGTAGATAGAGGTACCAAATGTTTATTCATTTGTTTTGAGGAAGGAGACCCCAAACCATCAAGGGATAATGCTGAAATTACCACATTAGTCAAGATTCAATGAAAACCAAAAACAAATAAAATGTCCTGAGCACACTAGCTCTCTTTCTATGCTATTTATTTATTTATTTATTTATTTATTTATTTATTTTTGGTACTGGGATCTGAGCTCATGACATTGTGCTTGCCAGGCAGGTGCTTATGCCACTGAGCTATATCCCTGGCTCTATGAAAATTATTGCAAAACTATTTTCTACCACTCCCAAAACACTTTTTTCCAAATTCTTCTTCTTTAGTTCTGTCATTATCAACTCAGCAACCCGACTTACCTGCCTACAAATAAGAGGCACCAAGGGGCTGACTAAGCAGGTGACAAGAGAGTGGGTCATCTGAATCACCCTCTTGTAATGTGCTGGGCACTTCTCATTTCTCCAGATCTCCTTCCATTTCCACATGACTAATCCCTGCAGTGAGCCTTTCCAGACGCAAGCTGTGAGCCTCAGGTCCTTGGTTTCATTTTATTTAGGTCCTTGGTTTCATTTTGCTTCAGCTCAGACCTACAGTCGTATGTCTAGGGTGCATGAAGTGTTTAACAAATGTATTCAACTTTATGAAGACACATTCCCAAGAAGATGAAAACCACAAAATAGCCCATGTCAGTAAAATGGACAAGATTAGTGACTAAGTAATATATCTGGCTTAAGCAAATCAGACTTTTCAGTGGAGGAAAGTAATGAGTGGGAGAAAAAGAATCTGCCATTTTACAGGCAGGAGTCAACTCCCTGGAAAACACGGATCAACCTTCATTCATCTCTGTTCTTATGGCCAGAAATTTCCTTGGAAAGCAGGTAAACACTGAAGACTTAGAGTGGGATTTTGGAAGTCATAAGTGGCTCCACAGTTGGTGAGAGTGCTGTGATTTCGCTTTTTCTGCTGTAAATAGGATTAAGAGTGAAACTTCAATGTCCTTCCTCCTCACTGGTGTCTCCACTGGCTTAATGGGTCTGGGCACAGAGGTTTTCAACAGACATGAGAAGTTCCAGCAGTGGTGGTGAACCTATGGCACACATGTCATTTGATTTTCTTTTAAGACAAAAAATGTTGGGGGCTGGGGAGACAGCTCAGTGGAATAAGCACCTCTCTGGCAAGTGCAAGGGCCTGAGTTCAATCCCCAGTTCTACCAAAAAAAACACACAAAAAATGTTAATGTAAAAATTATTTTTTCTAATCTAAAACCTCAGTATTTAGGTTTAATTACAATGTTAACACTTTGCTATAAATATGTGGATTTTGGGTTGCAGTGTGGGCACTTGTCTCTGAAAGTTTACCATCACTGAGATAGGGTATTGCGGGGTCAAATGAGGATTGATTGTTAAGTGCTAAGAACGGTGTCTGACTTATAATAATAAGCACTTTATTTTATTTTATTTTATTTTATTTTATTTTATTTTATTTATTTTTTTTGGAACCGAGAATTGAACTCAGGCCCTTGCGCTTGTGAGGCAAGCACTTATTCTACTGAGCTATCTCCCCAGCCCAATAAGCACTTTATACAATACATGATTTATTCCTTTTATTAATATTACTTCTCTCACTTAAATATACTACATTGGGGAAATTGTCCATTAAAATAATCATTTCTCAGTGGTGTAGCTAGAGTTTATGCAGCTCAAGGTGGTCCTTCAATTTGCCACCCTCCATATATCTGAATATATTTATTTAATGCATTTAGTATAGGGTCTACAAGGTATACAGGGTCTCACTACGTAGATCAGACTCAGTGATTCTCTTGTTTTAGCCTCCCAAAGCGCTGGGATTTCAGGCTTGTGCCACCACATCCATTCTTAATCGCCATCTCAGCGTGCCTGGGGTGGGGGCTGGCCTGGCATGCTGGGGATTGAACCCCAGCCACTGAGCTCTGCCTAACCAGGCGCTTTAATCTGTTGAGCTATCAGGCCAGCCCACATTAACCTATTTAAATAGAAAATTAAAATGATGTACAGAAAAAAATGGATAATTTTTACACATATTTATTAAATAAAAATATAGTAACCTACAATGTTAAAGTAGAAAATTAAAATTCAGTGTACTTGAATCTTTGCCCTGTTAGAATACATTGTTACAATATCATTTTTCTCTTGGTCAACAATGCCACCCAAATATATACAGTCCATGGGATGGACCTCCTCACCCCATCCTCTACTGTGCTATCGTTCCCTTTGCTTTCCCCCGATATGGCAAGAGGAATATTGATCTTCTGAGTTTGTCTATCTACTAGGACAGACCTAGACATGATGAACACTTGCCCCATACCCAGATAAAATGCTGTGCTCTTGCAAATTTGTATCCTTTGTGTATAGTATGAAATCTGGTTGTTATGCCTTCCTTGCCTGTTGATGACAAATGCAGCAAAGCTGAAAGCAACCTCTGCACCAGGGAATAATAATTTATCTTTGAGCCCTGGCCTGCTTGCTAACTTTATCTCATTCCTTTAACCATCTTGCTATGCTCTAGGTCTTATTCTTCATCTTGCTGGGCTGAATGAAATAAGTTTTGTTTGTTACTCAGATCCCCAGTAGGATATTCCTTTCATCTTTTGCTTTGGTACATATTTTTGTTCTCTATTTGTCATTAGTAACTGCAAATCAAAAAGCAACACCTTTTGCTTTCTATGAAAAACAAATACGAAGGAACGTCTGCTATATTGCATGATATAGAGAAAATCATTCAGTTCATTCACAGCTTTACATATACATCATATTGACATTAAGGCAAAACCAGTTTAGTTTTTAATAAGATTAAAATATCTGAAGGTTATTGTTTCAGGTATTTGAATATCAATACAAATTTGTTTGTTTGTTTGTTTGTTTTTATGTATTTAGTACAGGTTCTACAGGGTCTCACTATGTAGATTGGATTCATAGTGATCCTCCTGTTTCCGGCCTCCCAAGTGCTGGGATTACAGGCATGGACCACCATGCCCACTCTCAATCGCTGTCTCAGCACACCCCAGGGGCCGGGTCAGCACTGCAGGCCAGGGATCAAACCCCAGCCCTTGAGTCTGACTAAGCAGGTGCTTTAATCCACTGAGCTACTTGGATGGCCCTTCCAATATAAGTTTTTAAAAGATCACATTGAATGAAATCAATATATCAAGCATGCATTCTCTTGGCCAATGATACAGCTCTCATGTCTGAGGAAATTAATCATTGGAACTAGAAATGTGGTCCGGGCTCTGGGAATTAAACACAAAATTGTATCTAATATTTAATTCTATTAAATTTATTGAACACACAAATAATCATGTTCAGTTCTGAAAAGAAAAATTATTGACCACATCTAAATGAATGTCTAACAGTGAAAGAACTAAGATTATCTCCCCTGTGAAATGAACTTAAAATATTTTACAATAATAATACAAGTTAAAAATAATTTATATTCTGGGGTAGCCAGATACCTCAGCAGACTAAAGTGCCTGCTTAGGCAGAGCGCAGGGGCTGGAGTTTGATCTCCAGCAAGCTGTGCCAGACCCCTCCCTCCCACCTTGGGGCAAGCTGAGATTGCAATTGAGAATGGTGATGGTGCCACACGCCTGTAATCCCAGAGTTTGGGAGACTGGAAACACAAGGATCACTACAAGCATGACCTATGTAGTGAGACCCTGTAGACCTTGTAGACCCTGTACCAAATACATAAAAAATAAAATTATATAATATATACAGTAACAACAATCACTACATTGTAAGTATACATGCAATTTATAAGAAAAAAGTCATATAGAGAAAAATCATACAAAAATTAAAAGGAAAATACTTTTACAAAGTTGTTAATTATCAATAGCTTTTGTTTTATTTTTATTTATTAGTACATGTTTTCAGAACATTACTTTTGCATTACTTGTGTGGAGTCAGTGTAGGTGCATAATGCATCTTTGTTCCTTTTTTATCCCTCTTTCTTCCCCGCCTTCTCCTCCATTTATGTCTCGATTCCCTTCCCATTTGTGAAATATATATTTTCCTACTTCTTATTATTTATCTTTTATGTGGCTCTTTATTTATAATTTAGGTTTCTCATATGAGAGAAACAATGCCATATTTAAACTTGCATGTTTGATTTATTTCGCTTAACATTATGCTTTCATGGTGTATCCATTTTCCTACAAAAAGTACCTGCAGAGTAGTACTCCTTGTGTCTAAATACTATGTGTGGCTTACACATTCTTCTGTTCATGGATATACAAGCAGCTCCCAAGGCATAGCTATTATTAATTTGCTGTTATATAATATGATGTAATATACTTTCACTTTCTTTTTATGTGCAAAGAAAAAGCATCAATTCATTACATAACTATGCTATAATATGTTTGTGCCATTGAATTTTAATCAGGAATTAATGTAGGAAAACATATCTATCAAGGGTCTGGTGGCATGGAGAGGGAAGGCAATGACAAAAACAAAATGGCTGAGAAAATTTACTCAGAACTCCTGTAGAGAAAGCAAAAGTGAGCAAGAAAATAAAAGTAAAAAATAAAAGGAGAGCATTCAGAAAATGAAGCTGTATGTTCTCTATTTAAGTGATCTGAACAAATCAAGGTTCTCAGAGAGCACACAGCCAAGGTTCAGGACCACATACCCATCCCACACAGCTCATCAAGTCAGCAGGCTCCCAATGGCCTGGCCTCTTCCTGCACTGGTGGCCCTGGTGGTGCTCACCATCATGTCATCATGCTTTCTGGCCTGCAACCTGCCTCAAGCCCACAGCCATGGGAACAAGAGGCCCTTGATTCTCCTGGGACAAATGAGGAGAATCTCCACTTTCTCCTGCCTGAAGGACAGACAGGACTTTGGCTTCCCCCAGCAGGAGTTTGATGGCAAGCAAATCCAGAAGGCTCAGGCAATCTCTGTCCTCCAAGAAGTGGCCAGGCAGACCTTCATTCTCTTCAGATCAGAGGACTCATCTGCTGCCTGGGACAAGATTCTGCTGGACATCTTCTGCACTGGCCTCCATCAGCAGCTGAATGACCTGCAGGCCTGCCTGACCCAGGAGTCAGGGCTAGAAGAGGTTTCCCTGATGCATGACTCAAGACTGGCTGTGAGGAAATACTTTCACAGGATCACTCTCTACCTGAAGGAGAAGAGATACAGCCTTTGTGCCTGGGAGGTTGTCAGAGCAGAAATCATGAGATCCTTCTCCTCATCTCAAAGACTCACAAGAAAGTTGAAGGACTAGGTAATGAGTCTTGATATAACATGGAAGTTCTTCTCATCAGCCGTATCACACTTTTACTATTCTGTCACTTACAAGACTCTCATTTCACCTTTAATCACATCAATTTTATTTGTGTACTCTTTTCAGGAGTACTAACCAACATGGCTTTCATCGCTGCACGGAGTTGCCCTTCCAGCTGACTTTGTAAAGGCACACACATCTATTTATTTGTCTACTTTAATATTTATTTATTTAACTCTTTATAATAT